AAAGATAGTATAGTTTATATAAATAAATATTAAGTGGTTAAAGTTCTATGGTTTTTAAAAGTTGGATGGTGGGGTAAAAAATCTGGACTGCTTATAAACCCGGACTCCTTATGAAGTACGTTATACAAGTCAGTACAGTAAAGAGCTCTATCCACTACCCACTACCCTCTCTTAGACATACACACTTAACCGAGTCCATCCATCCATCCACAAATACCATCATAACATTTCATCGCCATGTACTCTTAGTATAACCACAACACCAAACCTCTCAGTGATATTCCATAACTTAACAAAACAAACAAGGATTTTGTAACTGACTATCCTATCCTCATTCTGATTCTTATTCTTATTATTCAAGGGATCTGATAATAAATCTTCAAATCGCGAGATTAAGATGGGATTCGGAAGAAGGAAGAAGTAATGTAGTATAGGACAGGACAGAAGTAGCTATTCCATATTCCGTAATACTGAAGTACTGTAATAGTCGTAATATTACATCTACCCCCTCCTGTAGAATACTAGTAGATCTTGAAAAAAAAAGGACCAGGAAATAGAGACATAACCAAAATATCCTTTCCTTTCCACTTCCACTTCAATTCCAATGCAACTCCACAAACCCCCACCACAAAAGCCGCCCTACGGAAAAACCCTGCTAGAAAAAAAACCATCTCGACGAAGAGATACTAAAACCCTTCATTACAATCATCAACGATCCCCTTCCCCACAAACCAAACAAAGGAACAACACACACACACACATACGAAACGAAATAAAACGCAATCTCACAAACTCTACAGTACAAGTAAACAAAATCCTACCATCCCCCTCATCGACGATCCCCCCCATCCCTTCAAAAAAGCCTCAGCCTCACCTTTAAGCAGTCCAGTCCACTTACCAGTCAATCCCCCGTCCCCGTATCTACTAGCAAAGCAGTAGTATACCACAAGAGCAAGAGTAAGAGCCGCATACCAAAAAACCGGAACCTGGCACTCCCCTTATCAAAAGTCCTTCTATCCCACCGTCGCAAGATCAAGAGCCGCACAATAAAATTTAAAAAAACGGAACCCCGTCACTCTCCTTATCAAAAGTCCTTCTATCCCACCACCACTATCGTAAGATCCGGAGCCTTATAATAAACAGCCTTCCCTTCCCTCCCCTTCCTTATCCCCCTCCACCTCCCTCTCCCATAAACTAAATCTCATTAACACAAGCATCATCAACATCACATCACCACAACCACATCAACCACATCAACGATCCCCCAAAGGTCCCAAAAGATACATAACACAAAATAACAAAATGGTACACATCCAGTAACCAACCAGTAACCAACCAGTAACCTTCCTTCCCACTTCACTTCACAGCTACAGCTATATCCCGGATCGTAGTCCGGACTCTAGGAGGCTGCGATATCCCATCCCTTGCCCTCGAATGGAAGGAAGGTGAGGGAGAAGGGGAAGGGAGAGAGAGAGAGAAAGAAAGTATGAGACGAACATACGCCTTATTTGTCAGAGAATAGGATATACTACCTACTACCTAGTACTTCCACATAATTTGATTTAATTTGATTTAATTCGATCCTATATGTACGAGTAACATCCAGTACCCTCTCCTCCCCTCCCCTCCCTTCCATTCCCTTCCCTTTCCATCCTCCAAAGAATTCCAACCCAGAATCGAAAATCGAAAAATCGAAAAATCGAAAAAAAAGTAATGACGATGCCAAGACTCGTTTGGGATACGGGGACTGGTACTGCTGCGGTACTGTGAGGGCCAGAAGGTAAGGTAAGTAAGGGTAAGTACTGTAAAGGGTAAGTACAACACAGAGAGAGAGAGAAGTTGATTTGACTGATTAATTTGAAGTCCATTGTACCATGTGTCCCGAAGCACGTCCGCACACCGCTTATTTCTAATACATATACACCTTCCAAGTCTGAAGTTCACACTCCCACTCAGAGAAGTGAAATATACTTCTTCCCAAGCACGAGCACTAGTACGTGGATTAGTCTCTAGAGGATTGTACTATACTATACTGTATGAGTATGAGTTCGAGTTCGAGTACCGACAGGACACTTTACGTACTGTACAGTACTGTACTACTCATATGAGTATACCTACCTAGGTAAGATACAGTACTCGTAACAAACACGCAAAAAAGGACAAAAGTGGGCGTGTACTCGTGCTCTTACAGTATAGTAAAAGAGGGAGAAGGGGTATCCCAACGATAGAAGGTTTCCCAAGAAGAGAATAGACCAAAAACTTCATGGGAATAGACCAAAACAGCTAAACCCCGATTCTACTCTAGCTCCCGGTACGAGTACCGACCCTTTGGTTGGCTACTTCGGGAGGGGATGAGGGGATGAGGGGCAGAAAACGAGGGGAAAGTAAAAGGATTCTCGAGTGGGAGGCTGGCCTGGGTTACTAATACTAATACCATGTTCGTTAGGTGTATTTATCACCGCCGCCGTGATGAAGTAGAGACGAAATAGAGCAGAGCAATGCCACATGAATTAACAAGAGAAAAACCATCCTGCTTTCGTGACCGACCATCTGTCATAGAAAAAGGGGGTTCACCTGGTACGCGGAGAGTTTGAAAGGCGCTGTGCCCATTACAGTACATTTGCCTCATGGGATTCTGAGAATTCCCATCTAGTAGTTCACACTTTGAGGGGGGGGAAGGTGACTAAAGGAAAAGGGGTTTCCCCAGCATGGACCTGGTCCCAGCCACAATCAACCACTACATCGTACCAAGTACGAGGTATCAGTTCTGAGGAGAGCGCTCTAGATCTAGAGCTTCCCCTCTCGGCGAGTGGGAAGGTCAAAATTGGAAGAGATGACGGCATCGATTCTAAGGTTGGGCTGGGTATCGTAGGGGTTGTTTCTCTGCGTCCCAAGGGAGGGACCCTTTAAGCATGTGCGGCGGGGGTTGCTACTAGCTAGATCTGCTCAGGGTCGTTCGGGTACATGATCATTTTCCCGCGTGGTTTAGGGGTTGATGGTGCTCAGTGCTATTGTACATAGACATGGAGAAAATGTAGGAGACTTTGCTCCGGGAATGTTTTTGGGACGGATACTTTATAGTAGGGGATCCTAGTAGCCGGTACTAGAGTTATCCATTCATTCGGGTTCTTACATCTTTCCGAAAGGGACCCTGGGTGAGTGTGATAGGTCTTCTCGCTTGTACGAGTATGTAAATATCATCGGTTATCGTGAAGTCTTTGGTGGTCAAGTGGGGCCAAGGGTCTGGTTTTGGGTTTTGCAGAGCAAAAGCCAACAAGGCAGATCCCATTGTAAAGACCGACTCCCAGAAAATCCCAGAAAATCCCCGAAAAGCCGAAAAGCCGAAAAGCAGATCGGCGATGCCAACCTTGTCGATCCACCTTGGCACGTTGCTCGTGGTGCTAAAGATGATCCAAGGAACGAGCGTTCAAAACAAAGGACCCCTTTTTTGCACCACGGCCAGGTGGACTTGTTCCTGTACGCAGCAGCACCGAGGGATACAAGATTTTTCGGGATCCCCTTTAGTGCATCGCCAGCGCAGATTTAGACTTGGTCGTGAGTTGTTTTACAGTTTTCTAGCCTCCAGGACGAGGGGGAGCCCGGGGAGGGGGGAAAGAGTGGGGAGAGTGGGGAGAGTTGTCACTGGGGTTTTCGCCTAAGCGACGGAGCGCTCGAGACCAGCAAGGATGGAAAGGCGGCAAACTCGATGACTTTCCTGTCTTTCGATCTAGATGATGGCAATGATGTCACTGAAAAAGACCCCTTAATTTTGGCCTCATGCGGCGTTTTCAGTCCAAGATGGGAAAAAAGTCTATTTGCAAGAGGCACGAAGAGGAGGAAGAAGAAGAAGCGGTCAGGGGATTTGGGTGAAGAGATTTTGGCAGAGATGGGACGGTGGTGTGGTTTGGTTGAGAGGTGCGGAGGAGGGAGTACCAGGGAGGGAGGGCGGAGGAGGTGCAAATGGAAATAGGGTTGGAGCTTAGATGCAGGTGGGATTGGTGTGGTGTGGTGTGAATGTTGGAGAATCCCTTCACTGCTCCAGCGGTTCAGCCAACGGGCACTCAGCCCTTGAGGACCCGGCCGATCACCTGCAATTCCTCTTCTCGCTTCGCCTTCGGGTCATGGGCAGTGGGCAGAGTGTTAGTAACTTTAGTGTGCTGTAGCCTGTACCTCCGTACGGAGAGCGTACGCAGAGGTGCATAATGGAACAGGGGTGCACGAGCGCTGTTGTAGAGACCCTGCAGAAAAGACGTGGACCCTGAGTCGATTAATCCCGTGAGCGACGAGTCTACGGAGTACTCGAGTACTACCGTCTACGACCTATGAAAGACCTGCGAGTGGACATTTCGATCTGCCCCCGCGGAGTCTCCTCCGTTCCCGTCAACCGTCATCATGATCCCACCATCCGCACGAGCATTTCTGAAATTGGAAACTGCGTCATCAAAGATCATCATGATTTCGGGGCAGCGATGAGGGCAGGTGTGAGTTGAGGATATACTCGACGAGGATGGAGTACTCGTAGAGTACTCGCGACAGAAGAACGGGAGGGCAGGCAAACAACACCCCGCCGGTTTGTTTACGTGAGGGATCTGATCTCTCTGCAGGGCCTTCGGGCTCGTAGGCGGTGGAAGAGGCAGTGGCAGTGGCAGTGGCAGCTCTTTGGCGGGGAAGCTCTGAGCTCCTCTCAGGCCTCAGCTCCTTCCCTGATCTTATGCAGGTGGTGGTAGTGGTGTTGATGTGGTGAGGAAAGGGTGTTTGAGCTTGCGTACTGTAGTTGGGCGGTGTCAGACGAACGCAGCAAGCACTGTGATGTGCTGTGCTATGCTGTCGAACCCTTCTTTAGAGCAACCCAACCCAACCCAACCCAACATGGCGCAGAGGGACTGGTGAGACCCGGAAGCACGGAACAAGGAGGAGAAGGAAGGCAAATCCCTAATCAAAGTTAATAAACAAGTGCCGTGATGCCGCATGAGCATGGTGCAGTGCTGCGAGTGGGCTGGGCTGGTTCTGCAGTACGAGTACTCCGTACAGACAGTACTCTACTAGTACTCGAGAAACCTCTACTCCTGTACTGTACTTGGTACAGCACGTTGACGCAATCTCCAATGCCCGATAAGCTCCAGCGAGGAGGTCGACGGGAGGGGTCTTGTTTCCAATGCGGTGACTGGATGGGAAGGAAGTACCTAGGTAGACCACCACAAAGGCAGGCACGACGGAGGCTGCTCCTGATGTTTGGTGTACTCGTGTACGGAGGATTCGAGTATTCCGTAATTCCAATTACGCGTATCAGCTAACGCTAACCGCACCAGTGTTGGAAAACCTGACGATCCAATAGAGAACAGATGAAGCTTCTGTACAGTACAGTACCATTATGCGTACTTGGTGCAGTACCAGTACCAGTACACCATGTGCTACTCGAGTACAGTAGTAAAGAACTGCGATGACGAACTCCTCGTTCACAGTAATCCTCGTAGTCTGTCGGTATTAATGTTAGTGTTGTGCTCTACAAGTACAATCTTACACTTGAACATACGACCTCCTGGCTCGACCTCGACCTCGACCTCCTCGCTTGACCAGGAACAATAATTACGAGATCAACACCATTTCGCACTTGATAGATGAAAATGGAGAGCCCCTTCTCTTCACGTCATCGGAGCTTAAACTCCTCTGCGTCTCCAAACAGTAAACAGCCCTGGCCCCTTGTAAATCTCAATGCCAACTACTTCCAACTTTCACCACGTTCAAGCCTTTGGGGCTTAAGCGAAGGGGTCTGCGGAGGGGTCTGCGGAGGGGTCTGGACTGCACCATCACAGGCATCGCATCTCCCCATTCCCATTATTCCCAGCGTGGGCGTGCCAGGAAGTTCCAAGGTTCAGTTTAGCGTCCCACTTCCACCCCAGTGACTCCACCATGTCCACTAAGGCTAAGCCCGCTCTGAACCCCCGAAATGTGCCAAAGCGAAAGCCGAAATGGCATCCCTGGCCAGAGATTCCCATCACAATCACAATCCCCCAAAATGCGCCCTCTCCCTCGAAACCCCCATCCCGTCATACTTTGCTCTTCCACCACATTGACAACAACATCACCACCATACCAGACCTCATTTCCATCCTGTTGCTCACGACATCAACATTGCTGAAAAGTACTTCTTCTACTCGGATTCCTTTTTCCAAACACCTAGCAGCCCTACTTTGCTCAGCCACCTGCATCAACAGCTACTCGTCTTCCTCGAGTCTCGACGTTCTTGGATTTCCGTTTCCTTTGCCTCGCCCAAACCGCCTCACCAAATCTGAGCATTTCGATTCCTAAATAAACTACTGAAGACGCAACACTTTACACACACTGTTGCCAGTAGAATTTGCTACTTCGTTTCCCAAACGATCCCTTCGTATGCTCCGTCCTCCCTTGGGGAGTCAAACTCAACACCTCACCACCAAGTTTGTTCACACCAATCAAAATCAAAATGACGCAAAGTCCGAGTATGCACGCTCGAGATTCGTCGGGAAAGAATGTATCTCTTCTCAACGACGATGTTGCACCCCCGCAACCCCATAACTTCTCCATAATTTCTTCATATAGCCCATCTGATATGAGTCGTTCGGTGTCCAGTTATTCAACACCCAGCGGTACGGGCTCTCCAGTTCTACCGGGTTTGATCCGTGCCGAATCGTACGATTCGCAGAACACCACTGAGACTCAATCTCCATTGACACCGCATTCCGAACTTGGCACACATAGTTCTTACACGGGGGAGTCGACATACAAGGACCCATCGAATATGGAGTACCGAGATAGATCACACTCATTCCATGACCATCCTTCCAACTACCATGGGATATCGCCAAGAACACAACATACGGAGAATAGGATGCATTCCTACTTTCAACCACAAGTGTATGATGAGGAAGCATATCACAATGGAAACATCTCGGAACGGGGAGCCAAGAGATACAATTGCCGCTACAGAGATACCCTCGGTTGCGAGAAGACCTTTACAACATCTGGCCATGCATCCAGACATTCCAAAATTCATACGGCAGAAAAAGCCGTTCCATGTACTTTTGCAGGTTGCCAGAAGAAATTCACACGTAACGATAATATGAAGCAACATCTCGAGACTCACAACAAGGACCGATCACGCTCCAACAGCACCCGAGCAGGAGGAAAACCTCCGGTTCTCACAGTTTCTGCCGGCATCAAGAAAGTCGGTCGTGCAACGAGTAGACCTACAACCCCAGGTCTGATGGTAGCAAATGCGGAGATTTCTCCTATCATCGACCCTGCGTTATTCTCGACGGCTAGCAATCAAACCCCCCTTGTGCTACCAACCGCTTCTCTACCAAACAACTCTCACGGCATTCGTCAAAGCCTGGTTGCACGACCTATTGATACCAAGAACGGCCCTCCCAACTCGTGCAAGGGATTGGATGCCTTAGCCATGGCTGTGCAGTTGGCTCAGTCAACTCTGTAAGCCAGCCTTGTTTTGAGATCTCGAAAATCCGACCTGCCAACAAAGACCCCTAATCCCACTACTCGGGTTGATTACACCCTCATTCTTCAAAGGTGGCGTGGTGACATGGTGTTATGCCAGTCTGAACGAACGATCGTTTGAAGGTGGTCGGTCGTGTTACCACCAAGATTTTCTCAACCCCGCCCTCTTGGATCAATGGCGGATCAAGCCGTGCGCCACTGGATGCAGACTGCACCTTCCCCTTATATATGTCCGACACTTCTACCTGGTAGTCTGGATGCATATGATATATGAAAGGGGGGTTGCTGTACGTGTCGTTTGGTTTAACGAAGCATATGCGGTTCTGATTGGGGAGACTGGCTTTTTTCTTTTCTCCCTTCCCCTCATCTCCCCGCACCTCGCTACCATTTTTATGAATTTCATGTCGTGTGCTATTGGTGGAATGGGTGCATTATTGGATGGTGTTTATTTTGCTTCTTAGAGTTGGGGGTTCACGGCGTCGGGCGGTGTGTAACAACCCTTTTTTTTTTCATCTGTTCTTGCATTGATTGCCCTGCATAGGGATGGTGGGACGACAAATGGATGGATTTTTTCATGATAGCATGTGAATGGGGGAAAAGATAACATGATCTTTTTGGGGGAAAATTACAGCCGTCGGTGCGCGGGGCTTTTTCTTTTTTTGTTTTCATCAAAAAATGTCGGTTATGATTGAATGAACTTTGGATGGGATGGGATGGGATGGGATGGGATGGGATGGGATGGACGGATGGACGGATCGAATTTATACCCCCCCACTTTACTTTTTTTTTCTTTCTTTTCTTTCTTTGTCTATCTAACTTGAAAAGAAGGTTACCAGATCTCGCTTAGTGGGGTTTTTTATATATTACATAACATGGCAACATAGGCAATGAATGCTATAGTACAGTATAAGTATATCATATCCATTATAACATTTACATACTCGGGATTAGCTTGGTCTAGTCGCGTTCGTGTATACTTAAGTGAGAACTCAATTCCTCGGGTACTGAATAAGGGGAGAGCGTCCCCAAAATAAAACCAGCTTAGCTACTGACTGGTATAGTATAGTATTTAAAGTTAAAGGCAAGGTCAAGGTCAAGGTCTCTCTCTGGGTGGGGGGTTATGTCTCGCGAAGAATGTGGTGGATGGTATTTATAATCTTACTTGTACTTGTACTATATATACTATATATACTTATACTTGTACTCCTTATACTGTACAGATGCAGAATGCAGAATGTAGAATGCTTACCAAACCAAGAAATGGAAGTGCAGAGACATCTGGGGACTGGGGTGAAAGGAGGAATAGATGGATGGATGGGGGAGAGGAAGGACTGTATATTGAGGTTCCTGGTTATGGGGTTATTGGGGAATTTTGGTGATACTGCTTTTTTTGGGCCTTGTTGGATTGGTGGATTGTTAAGGGGGTTGGAGGAGAGGGGGGAGAGGAGAGAGGGGGTTTATAGATGTATACAGTACTATACTGGTGTGCACACGTGGATTAAAGTTAGTGAAGTGAAGTTAGTGAAGTGAAGTGAGTGAGTGTAGTGTAGTGAGTGTAGTGTAGTGAGTGTAGTGTAGTGAGTGTAGTGTAGTGAGTGTAGTGTAGTGAGTGTAGTGTAGTAGGGTAGAGTGAGAGGTAGTTACTAGATAGTAGATAGTAAGAATACACTACCTACCTACCTACCTACCTACCTACCTACTAGTGTACACACTCCTCTCAGCCGCTGGGTCTTATTATGCATGGGGGTCTATCGTCTTCTACTATCTTTTATTGGTATATAGAATTGAAGGTTACTGTTGCTGTTATATATTCCCCTTTTTTCTTCTTTTTTCTTTTTTCGTTTTTCGTTTTGTTTTTGGGAGGGGGGAGGGCTTGTTAGGGGGGTTGAGGA